TAAAAAAAAAAAAAAAAAAAAAATGTTGAACCATACATTATCCTTCACATATAGACACAAGAACTAAATGCAAAGAATTCTGTCTCAGAAACCTAACAAACATCAGGTAATAAATAAAAATACCTGAAACTTGCTGTCCTTGCTCTACTGAAATAAAGAGCAAAACTAAAACTAAACAGCAAAAACAGGTCAAATATTTTTACTCCAAAAAGAAGCAACCTACTGAGAAAGTATAACCTGTAATCGGCTCAGTTTTGAATCCCATAAAGTGATTCGTAAAGAGGGAGAAAATTGATGAGATATGAGAACCAAAATAGCAGCCAGTGTAACTAGAGCTTATTATTTCACATTGCCAACTCGCACAACCAGAACATCCTTGAAAGTGCTGTAATTGGAACCTGTGAATACGTGCTTGAATCTCTGTACTAACAAACAAGAAATAAGTTCCATTCCACCTCAATGTGAAGTATGCAAAGGGTACGAAAAATAATTATAACTCAAATTCAAATGTAGTAACAGAAAGCGGAAGATAAGGACATCTGGGCTCAGGGTCAGTGTGCATGTTTACAGGCTGGGACCCTCACTAGCACCAGGAGCAGGGAATGCTGCTGACTGCTCTCTGGACCGCTGCTGGCACTGGTGCTGCTCAAATCTGTCCAGCTGGCAGCGTGACCTGGCCCTTGATCAACCATGCCAATAGCACTCAGCTGTGCAACACACACAAACACACACAGGCTACTTGTTCTTCACCCATTTTATGGTTGGTGTTCATCCCACCTTCAAAAACACTGTCTTTTAAAGCGTGATGTCTCAAAAGATGCCATTCTGCCACATTGTCCAACATAGCAAATGTACAAGGTGGTGTTCAAGATGGCGCAGTAGTTCAAGTACCCCATCAGACCAACAGCTGTGACCAGTAGTTTGCCAGTCAACAAATGCATTAAACAAACAAGATATTTCCTGTCAAGGACATGCTGGATCGCACAAGCGCACACACATAAACTGTGCAGCACAGAAGGCCTTCACTTGACCCTATGAGCTGCCGGCTCTGGAGTGCTCAAAAGTGTGCGCATGTGGGTGTGCAGAGAGGGAATTACATTAAAGGTGTATCTGAGGCAGATAAATTCTGTGTGTTTAAAGGGGTCATGACATGTTTTTTTTATTATTTTAATTTTTTTATTATTTTAATATGTTCCTTGAGGTTTACTTAATAAAGAAAAAAAAAACAAATAAATATTTGGAACCCTCATTCTGAAACTCTCTTTAAAATGACCTGTTTTTAAGTGGTGGGTCCTTTAAGGCTTGCCAGTAATTGGCCACTGTTATGATTGGCTAACGTCATTGCATAGGAAACATTATCAAGGCTAGGGTGACCTTATGTCCTCTTTTCCCCGGACATGTCCTCTCCGGCCGGGATTTCTAAATCGCCCAAAATGTCCGGGATTTGGCTTTTGCTTTCTACAGTCGCCATTCAATGGGCCTCATTCATGAAACACGAGCAGAACAAATTTTTGTGTAAATCGTTCGTAAAGCCATTCTGACGTAAACTTTCAAATTCATGAAAATGTTCGTATTTTCAAAATGTTGATACGAAAGAAATGTACTCCTGCTGCCTACCACGTGTAAATGGTGCATAAAATGTTCTGTGTTCTTTTTGGCAAACTGATGACACTGATTTTTGATGCACTGCCATAATAATTACATAATAAGTTCATTTGCCCTTGCCCTCTTTTTTACTTTTTAATTAATTAATTTATTTTTTTGCAACTGAGTTGATCATTGTAAAACGCAGCGCTCGTCACTGTCACTATTTATCCAGCCGTAAATAGAGGAGGGGCAGGAGTCGGGACAAATACCTAACCATCCTACTTGTACAACGACTGCCTACAACGAAGTCAATATTACTTCGAAGTCAGTTGGAGAAGTCAATATTACTGGTTACTGCTTTATTATATTTAGTAAAATTCTTAAAAATTAGATACTAGTAGGCTAGTACGTTGCCACCGTTAATATTCCATACCATAGCAACTAAAGCGTCTCAGCTGGAAAAACGCTGTGCCACCAAAGCATTCTCAAGCGCCAGCAGCTGGTCGTTTTAAGAAGAGCACCTGACATATTTTCAGCTGGCTAAAAACTCTTTGGTGGTCACACACATTATTGAATATTTATTGTTAGGCATATGGCCTAGTCTTTTTTGCATTTATGCAATATACTGGAGCCAAACCTGAGAAAGTAGACCAGAATATTCCACTGCGTTCCTGGACATGCAATTTGCGTAGCTGTCATTTATAGGCAGCAGTTATGCTAATTGTGAATGAGCGTGCACGAGCGCCCTATTACGAATGATTGGAATTCATTAACATACACATGTTTAACTATCAAATCGGACGTTTACGAAGAGTTTGTGAATCCGGAGGAGAGTTTTCGGGAAGGTCTGTTTTACGCGCAAATTACTCAGAATTTACTCATATATTTACGCAAGTTTCATGAATGAGGCCCATTGTGTGCATTTTTGTATTAAAGCCCTGCGCGGGACTGTTTTCTTAATCCCACTCCCGCTGAATTTCTGGCCTGCTCCCGCAAACATTCTAATATTGAATATAATTTTCGCACATCAGGGAGCCGCTATCAATATGCGGAGTACTTAAATCACTTTGGATACAGCTCGTGTTGGATGCAGGGTTGCCAAATCCGCATATTTTTGCACGAAATTGGGGTGATTTTAAACTGTTGCGGTGGGTTTATTTTCTCCCGTGGGTTAAAGGTTTGAAATATTACATAAATTACATTTGACTGAAATGCTTGTATTGAAACATTCTGCATTCTACCTATGATAAACTGTGGTAGATGTTAAGTTTTTGTGAAGGATGACCACTGGTAAGAAGCCTTTTAGCTGTGTTTAAGACCAATCTGCATAACAGTGACTGTAAAATATGTATTTTAGGAATGGAAATTACATTTTGAGTTTTGATATTTGGGATATGGTCATTGCGCTACTTTGGGGACTACTTTAACCCCCCCCCAGCATTATGAAATAATTTGCTTACAGTTAGTGATGCAGCTCGCATTCAGTGTAATCAAGTAAGCATTAAGTGACTGGATGCCAGTGGGCGGGGCCTACGGTGAGAAGATTATGTCTTGCTCTGGAGGCGGTGTTTATGCAAATGTTTGTGCCCAGGTGACGTCACCTTGCCCCTCAGATCCAAAACGAGCTGTTTTTGGAGCTTGATTAAATAAATGCTTTGTTTAAAACGAGGAGGACGTTTTAAGCTGTGAAACTGAAACAGGATGTTTTAATGGTACAAATACCTCTTATATGCCAAAAGATCAAGGCAAATTTGATTTCTAATGTCATGACCCCTTGACCCCTCACATGATAACACCAGACTTTTGTGTAACTAGAGAGGGTAACTATTTTCTGTGGCTTGTAAACAGAAGCAAGATTATTACTATCAGCCCTTACAAAAAGAGTGTATTAGTGACAGGTCAAATCAATGCACCTTCAGTGACTAACATTTTTAAACACTAAAAAAAGAAAAAAACCTTACAGGTCCAACCCTCTACATTGCGAGTAAATCACTCGCATATGCGACTAAATCTTACTCTGGGCGACTAAATAACGTCTAACATTAGCCATTGGCCAATAAATTCTTAGAGTTTACTCGCCAGTGTGTGAGTTGGAGGCGTTCAACACAGATTTTCACTCGATAAACACGCTGACTGAGCGCTTGAGAGTTTCACCCCAAACTTTTGAACGTTAGCGTATGTGTAGTACATATAAAAGACATCAGGCAGATGTGGAAAAAGTGAAAGAGAAAGTGAAGATAGTGTCCTTTTCAGCATATTTTATCTATCAACTATCAAAATCAAAAGTATTCATAAATGTTTACTTTTCATGGGATGTGTTTACTTTTTTCAAAGCACTGTACATGTTTTATGCATTCATAATGGCTGATGTGTTTGTGCACGTGCATATACTCAAATGAATTGGTGCGCTTAAGGCTGAGATGAACGCACATGTACACATATGCAAACCCACAGGTCTGATAAAGGCACAGTACACGAGTGAAATATCACAGAAGCACCAGAGAGACACCCAACTGCCTGGCAGGCTCCTGCCTGAGCCACCCAACCATTCAGCACGATCAAACAACGTTTAAACAACAGCCAGTGAACCGTTCAGCCTGTGCGCAGCATAAAAAAAAATCATCCCTGAGAGCAGAGATCCAACCAGCCATTTGGGTTTAAAACAGAGGCTTGAAACCGCTTGGCATACAGTGCCGATCAATTAGCTAAGTTTAGATTTGCTGACCCACAGAGCTTTCAGAGACTTTCATAGTGTATATTTACAAATGACGACAGTGTAAACATACTTCTGACATAGCTGGTTGAAAAGGATCTTGGGGGAGACAGGCCCTTTCCCAGGCTCCTTCATGCTTTGGAGGAACAGGAACATGGCTGAGGTGAGGGGTTCTGGGCTGGGCAACGTCACTGTTAGTGGCCCCTGTAAGAAAGCATAGCACTCATATCATATATAACACACAAAGCAGTGAGACGTTAAGTGCATATTTAAAAGTTAATATGAGTGATATTATGACAGAGACGGGACTAGTCCAGTCCATGATAGCTGGAACCTACCAACTTAGTCTCAGCAGGGGGGCAGATCTTCATCTTATGTCCCTTCTCCTTGACGTCTTGAATTAGGTCATTCAGCATGTGGGTCTGGGAGAGATTCTAAACCCAAGCACACAGACAGCTTTTACAATATATAAAAATATTAAGCAGCACAAGTGTTTTCATAATTGATAATAAGAACAGTTTCTTGAGCACTAAACTACCATATTAGAATGATTTCTGAATGATCATGTGACACTGAAGACTGGAATAACATGAATAAATTACATTTTAAAATATATTTAAATAGAAAACACTAACAATAGTTATTTTAAATTGTTTTTACTGTATTTTTGACTAAATAAATGCAGTCTTAGTGAGCATAAGAGACTTCTTTAAGAAATGCAAACACACACACACATACACATACATAAAGTTCGATTTGTTAATTTCATTTAGATTCATTTGTAAAATAATCTGAAGTGTCCTTCTTGAAATAAGCTTGTCACTTTGAAACAAGCAAAAACAGGGTGTTTTCTCAAGGCCACAAGGGTGAAGGTGCAGTTTTAGTGACTCTTCCACATAATATATTTGAATTAATTTGTGGTAACAGCCCAGATAAACCATAAACCAGCTGGCTTCCACCAAAACACACAGAACTGACACAAACCAAATGTCAGGTGAGTGATTTGAGCTCTTGGACATGACTTTACCTGCATCACAGCATTGAAGAAGCAGGTGTTACCCAGGTTGTTGATGCCCTTGACTGGGATAAGTGTGCTATTCACTGGAGTCTTCCCTCTCTGAGTGTCCACATACTCAGCGGGTTCCTCTCGGAGCCTGATAATTTTTGAGGTTGTTCCTAAAAGACAGAACAGAATATAATTTAACAAATCTCTAGTTAGGACACTATTTAGTAAAGCAGGTTATCTACATTCAAAAACATTTCAGCGCAATTAAAAAAAAAAAAGCTGAGAGCTTGACTTAAACTTTAATTTAGTGAAAGGAAAACAGTTCTTCTGTTATGTGAAGATCTGGACTGGGCCTGGTCCCAGTGTGCGCCTGATTTTCTGCAGCAGAAATGGGTTAACATGCTGGGTAGCAGCTGGGAGAGGCTGCAGATGACAGCTGGATAAAACTACGCTGGTTATGCCGAGTTCACACTGCATGATTTTCAAACTCGTTGGATCGCCGTTGTTTTCACACTGCGTGACTACCTGGGGTAGCATTCAGTTGCTGCTGTGTTCACATTGCACGATGGATCGGCGACAGGGGGTTTCACACTGCATGACTTCATGCAGTGTGAACTCGGCATTAGGGAGCAGAGAACAAGCCCAGCTGCTCCCCGCTACTGCCATGACTCTGCAGGAGAATCTTGGCCCAGGCGGCTAAACACAAGGCCCGCAGAGAGAGTTTTTCTGCACAAAATAGCAAAACTCCAGAGAAATGACGGGTGCACTGCCTTCAACACTCAGGAGACATGAAAGCAACCTGCATGATAATTCAAAGCGAGCAGTCAGTCCTGTAAATAGCTCTCAGAAGAAGAAGCTCTCGCCAGAAGAGAGGCAGATGGCGCCTGTGGTTTTCAACAATACAGATACAATTATAATGCGATTTATTTTAACAATTTCTAACAGTGACTGCTTCTTTGTGAAATCATTTATTCAACAATGACTAAAACTTGAAATTTCTGAAAAAAAGACTTAAATGACATTGACTATTACACACATACTTTAATGTCACAAATTGTAATAAATTAATTGAATATCAACTTTAGCATTTATTCAGTATTTTTATTTTCTGTACTGTGTACTGTCTTTCATCATCCAATAAATATACATTTTATATTGTACAATGTGTATTTAAATTCTAAATAAACAATAACATGATAATTAGATGATAGTCATTTAAAGGAATTCTCAATTTTGTTACGCAAATCTGACAGAAAATGGTGCGTAAAGAGTAGATATCCTGTACACAATGGCATACAGAATACAAGGCCAAAAAAATCCATGAAACAATAAACTTTCCGAATATAATCGTATTTATTAGAAAAACTGTCCCATTTTTTAATTTTTATTTGCTAGCTTAAAGAGAGAAAACACACCAGTGCCAAGGCCAGAAATCTCCAAAAAATGGAATAGGTTGAAATAGGCTGGATGAATATTTTGCACTCAGTTTTTATTCACAAATATTATGAAGCACAGCCCTTAACTTAGCCTGCACGAGACATTATCTTTTATATGCATAAACCAACTATCTGCACGTTCTACAGGAAAAAGAAATAAAAACAGCTGCAACTCAATGAATAGTGTGGACTACATATACACAACAGAAGCTTACCTGCAATTTTTGTATGCAAGATATTTTTAAAAGTTTTAATTGGTGGACCAGTTGTCAAACTGGGTGGTGGCCTTTAGCAACAAAGCATTGGACAAGCCTTAACAAAACACTGAATCCATGAATTGCTCTGGACCCTTCTTTCTTATTTTTATACTCACTGGCACCATTTGGGAAGGAGAGCACAAGTGTTCGGTCAAATGAAGCATTAATGAACAGCTACAAGCACCCAAGGCACTGAGAATGAGAAAGAAAGTCAGCATGGTGCTGCTTGCCGCTACTAAATATTGCTATTTACACTATTTTGTAGTACTTTTATGCATAAGTAAGAGCAGGAAAACAAATGTACCTTTTTATGAGTATTAAGTAAATAAGCAGCCCTATGTTCCGATTAAATAAACATCAAAATTAATGATAAATGTATTTTAAAAATTCACTAATAAACAAAATGCCAAAATTGGTATCAGCACTGCAACTAACAGGACTGAAAACTTAGACGAAAGTAAACTGACATTCAATAAGTTCCAGCTAATTTGGGTTCAAATGTTGTTTTGCAATTACTGATCAAATTATATTTGCTAGAGACACTAGTGTACCGTATTCATGTAATGTGCTCTAAATTGTTTCAAAATGACCTGAAGTAATTCATAACATATAGATGTGTGCAGGTTTTGTACATATCTACTACAGCTTGTTTTGTCCTCAAGTGGAATAATATGCCTTATTCTTGTGTCCCAATTGGTTTATTCTTGCATGAATGATTTCGGTTTAGAAAGTGGATAAAATTAGTTGTTACATGCCTTAGTGTGCATTGATTTTTCCCGAACGCTACCTCCTGTTGGAAACATCCACAAAGAGGACAACATACATTGACGAGCTGTAAACAACATGGAATATGATGCCTTGGAGGTCATCTTTTACTTATATGAATGACCCTTCACATTCTTGTGTATCCAACAGAATTGAAACTATTATGAAAAAGGCACTTTAAATGTACAATAATAGACATGTCAGGCTGTTGAATGCCTGTGCAGATGGGGGACGTTTCTGCAGGTCAGCCTTTGACGAATCTCTGCTGGACAATACCAGGGGTCTTCATAAACGCACCTAAGCTGACACATAGATTCTCTTCAAGACTGCAATATAATTTCTTAAACTCAGACAATTAATACCAAGGCATATGGTTGGGTGGAAAAATAAATTTCTTAAAGGTGCAGTAGGAGATCTTGGAAAATGCTAACTTTAGCCTGATAGCACTGAAAGCGAACGTCCCACCCGCCCTGCAATTGCCGTCCAAGCCCATGCCCCCTGAACGCATATACGCTCACAGACCAGAATACCAGAGACAACATTACTACAATACATCAGCTGTTCCCAATTCCAATCCTCACACTGGATGTGAAGATGTGTGTGTGTGAGTGTGATGTGTGTGAAGACGCTACGCAGCGCAAATCTGTGAATGAATGTTCTGAAGTGAAGTAAACTTCAACGGATTTCCCCTGCTCAGAGAGTAGGGAGCAATGAACACTGTGTAGGGATCATATCGATCAGAACACAGTTAATGCACGTAGCTCACTTCTAACGAGCTGGTTATCTGAATCGGGTGTGTTAACTAAGCGAGACATGCAAAATATGAATACATTTAGACCACTTAATGATTGCTATCGGGATGTAACAAAAAATGTTTCTGAAGACAATCACCTATTGCACCTTTAAATCAGGAAAGCAACTAAAACGTCTTGAGTTATCTTTCAGGTTGAACTGACATTGCCACCCCAAGATCACCTTATTTATTGAGCCCCCCTTCTGAATCCATATTGTCACACCGCCACATCTGAGGAAAAGCCCAAGGTCAATCCATGTTCTCTTATTCATTGTGCAACAATGCTCTCTGGAGCTGCCCCAAATGTTATGCAGATCCAAACACACTTATTGCACAAACTGGCCCAGAATTAAGCCTTGTTCAGTAAAAACAAATCTGAAGTGGGCAGCTTCTGTGCCCTCACGATTTTCTCACAGGGGTTAATCAGGCATCAAAACAATAGACTGGAGTGCTGCTATTCCTAAGTGGGGCCAAAAGCATCTGGAGCACTACATGGAAACATCTGGAAGTTTGTCTGTGTCCATACAGTCATTCGGGAGGGAGCCCATATGTCCAGGAACACTGTGGTGCAAACAAGTGTGGACAACAGGGACACACAGCTCATACAATGAGCAAATAGGATAATGAGTGAGTGTGATGGCAATAAGGTACTTTTGCATCTTGTCGGTCCCATTTTTTTAATAGACCAGGAGAATAAATGTGCGATGTGGGAATGCCTATGGAGTTACACCGCATCTGGGCCCACTGATCAAGGTAAACAATGTTCAGAGAGCCATCTGCCAGGATGGCAGCGAAGGAGATACATAGAGGGAACTGGGGGGGGGGGGTAGTGCCCTGAACAAGCATATGGAAAAACAGATTTTTCCTCTCCCTGCAGAAGTTAGCGAAGGCAAATGTCAGCATGCACCACGGCCACGCTTGACTGTCCTGCACTCGGCACCACCACCTGGCTCTCCTTGCTCAGCCACCGAATATGGGCAGGAGTGACACTGTGGAGCATGTCCCCAGGGCAGCCTAAACGATCAGCAATCCCACTCCTCCCCACCCAGCTCTCTACAAAACGCACAAGTGCCAAAGTGAATGTTGTTTCCTGTTAACTGTGTTAAAAGGAAGATCTTTCATAAGCACTGTGAAACCCTTTTTTTTTTTTTACCCGCCCTCGCCCTCAACCAGCAAGAATTTATTGTGTGAAACACAATAAAAGATATTTAGCAGAATGTCTAAGCTGCTCTTCTCTATACAATAAAAGCAAACAGTGACCACAGTTGGGCCACGTCACCATTCACATGCATTGTATAAATAAATAAAAAAAAGTAAGGAGGCCCCAACAGTAACATTTTGGCAGTATTATTCATATACTATTTGAGTATTTATTAATATTTCGAATTAGTTATTTTTATTATTCAGGTTTTCATTTTAATTTCAGTTTAAGTTTTAGTAATTTAGTAATTGCTATGTGATTGTTTGCCATTTTTACTGCAATATTTCAATTGGTTGTTTATATGTTTACATTTTTCATCTAATATTTGTATTTTATTTTATTTCAGTTTTATTTCAATTATATAACAAACAACATTTTTAATAGTTGTAGTTTTAGTTGCATTCTTGCCTATCTAATATTCAGTACTATTCTGTCTAAATAAATGAAAAATAAAAACCCTAAAAGTAAACTCAATCATTGCTAAATGCTACAAGGGAATTTAGGCACCACAATATTATGTTAGGGTTAGGAGAAATAGACTTTCATTCAGAGATTTGCTGAAGATTACATGAAATATTATTAGTGATAAAGATTACCTTTATGTGATTGTTAGATGACAGAAAAAGGCAATCTCAATGTAAAATAAAATAGGGGAAGTAAACATGAACAAAATGGATAAATTAATAAATAAAAAATAACAATAATGATAATAATAAAT